TAAGTTAATACTTACTTAAGAAATGTACAGTCATAATATCAACTATATTTTATTCGTTTATTATTTTTATTTACTAGTGATAAGAATTTTGTACTTTCATCAGACCATCAACTATCTAAACAATTTGTACATCTTCGTATTGAATACAAATAAATGAATACCTGCTAGATGTCGTGATCGTGTTCTACCAACCACAAACAGTTGCCCTCTCTTCAAACGTGCAGTGTCCCAGCCAGTATTTGTTTTTGAACGTGACTCCGTCTCCCGCGCCCAAGCTGGGGAGCCGAGAGCCGCGAGGCATTGACATCGCGAACGGGAACATCATGGCCTCCGCACGATCCGCAGTTTGGTGCTCATATGGTCTGGCTTTTGTGTTCCTTCGGGACAATCGTATTGTCTTGAGAAAAGTGCGGGAACCCAGCAGGGAAGAAGCCAAGGGGGCAGGGCCACAACCGACGAGTGTGAGAGAGACAGGCAGACGAGGTGGACGAGGTCAGCGATATTACAGGGTCAGCACCATGCATCAAGAAGAGGTCGCGTGGTCGAAAAAAACGGCATTGGGGGAAGAAATTGGTGTCCCCGTTCTTGGATAGAGGCTTTCACAATAAAGTGCATTCTGTAGTATGGTCGAGTTGCCATAAGTAAACAAATATATTTCGAGATACAAACATATTGGAAAGTGTGCTAGAACTAAGGTCTCTCTAATAATTACCTCCAGCATTAAATTGAGTCCATCCTAACTAGACAGGAGTAGCATCTGGTCTTCACGAACCAATCAACTGCTTTCCGTCACGTCAGTTCGTAACCGATCTCCTCCCCTTTATCCCCAATAAACCGCCAATCATTACTCCGATGAAACACTTATATCTTTAACACTCCAAGTCAAGCATTTCGAGCTCTTCACACATATTTGCCGTCGGCCTTGGCGTGCGCCGGCGCTGGGAGTGCGCGGGGCCCGCTCACAATGAGGACGAGACGGACGCTCTCACGCTCAGCTCCGCGTCGTCCTCCCCGCCCTGGTCCTGCTGGTCCTGCTCATCGTCAAAGAGTCTCTTCTCACGGGCGGGCGGGGCAGGACGGGTTCGACGGTCTGCGCTGTCAACAAGCTCCTCCAGCCACACACAAAGGGGAGGGTTTTGGAGATTGGAGAGTATACATTTGGAAGGAGGGTTCAACCACCGCGACCCGTCCTCATGTGCGGTCGACAAACTCTTTCCTTTCATCAGTAGCCATCCTGTACGTAGTTTATCTGTACACTGTAGGTTTCATACAAATAAGAAGTGCTCATGGTAACGTACGAAAGGTTTGGCACCTTCGTAATAGAAACAAATCCTTCGTATTATGAAGACTGCTCTAGGAGGAACTAAGAGTGTAGGAGTTGAAATAAATATATTTTAAAGTTCAGCTGGTATATTTGATAAACGGACCAGACGAGCTCGTCAGCTCGTCTTCGGCATGGTACGATAACAATATTTACATTTTCCCAAAGTAATTGTTTCTCACGCGTCGCCTTCTCGAGGCTCGTTCGCTGCCAGTGCCCGGCTGGCAGGCTCCTGCCGACGCGAGGGTGGGCCGCCCGGCCGCCACCAACTGTAGGATGGGTTGCCTGCCCGTTGGGCGCCAGGCCGACGCGACGCTCTCCGCGGCGGCGAGCAGGAGAAGGGACGCACCCCGTGCAGCCTCCGCAACCCAACCGACGCACCTGCTCGACAATGGGGAGCCCTGGCACGGCGACGCTCGGGCCGAGCCAGGCCGGGCATCGCGTCGGGTGATTGCGGGTGAAGGCCGCGGGAGGCTGCCGTGCATTCGGGAGGGCAACCTGCCACAAGCCTCAATTGCAGCGGGCGCGGCTCTCGATTCGCTTTCGTTTCGAGTGTTCGATTATTCGGGGCGAGATCAGCCTGCAGCGGTCGCTGGGCGGGTCCTCGCGGCACTGCTCACGCCAACCGCCGCCCGGCTCGTTATGCAGGCTGATGCGACCCGTGTGTGCGCGCGCGCCGCGCAAACCGCATCTTCTCGCTATTAAAAGAAGAAGTCCCACCAGGAAAGACCTGTTTGTGCCGGGTCACGATCTGGCCGCCTGCTCGCCTGGCAGCCTGCGCCGCCCACCCGGGGACAAAGGGGCGCGTGCGGGCGCGAGCCTAGTGCACGCCTTGACCCCCAATAACTTCAATTGCAGACATTAACCTTACCGAGGATCAGGTGCCGCGTGAAGATGCAGTGCAGTTTCGGGG